GGGGGAGGGCTTGAAGGCATGGTGAGTAAGTCAAAAAGCGTACAATCCGTTTTCAGACCTCTGATGACGACGACATCTAGCTTGCAAACACTTCAGTAATCTTACTTTTGTTAGCTCCTTGTTAGACAGGAAATAGTGTGAAATATTCGCGATCTCATCAATGACTAGTCTTTGAATACTGCTGCATTTGAAGCGGTAACGAGTATTGTACCACCATCAATTATAAATGTTTGTCCGATTATATAGCGTGATGCTTTGCGATCTGCCAAAAATGCTATGGCATTAGCAATATCCATTGGTTCACCGAGTTCTCGAATTGGCAATGAATCTGCGGAGCTGGCGAATTTTTTGTAGAACTGGAATGGAAATGATTTTGATGGCGTTTTTCTAGATTGAAATGATACATACCTCAGCAGCTTGTTCATCTGTCATTCCGGTATGTTGGAGGAATTTCGTTACCACAGCTCCAGGACTAGAATGGGAGCCGAATTGTTAGGTACATCACGGGGAATTAGGCTATTATTACCTAACACTATTCACTCGAATTCCTTCGGCAATAAGTTCTATTGCCAAACCTCGAGTCATCTGGTCCAGTGCTGCTTTGGCCATCGCATAGTAAAGATATTTAGGGGCCTAAAATTTTTTTCTTGGTGTTTTCCCAGTTTGCAAAGGAAAGAAAAGTGTAATTTACTCCTTTTGGTTGGCCAGCAATGCTGGAAACATTGACCACTTCACCTTTTGCTTTTGCTAAATGAGGACGAGCTAGTTGTGTCATATGCAGAGCGCTAGATTTGGCATTCAAAATATAATAAAGTTGTACACTTGTTTACTAGCAACCTGTAAACATTCAGATCCATTGTCTTTTTCAATATGTCCAAATCGGCAGTAGCGCCACCTTGATTCTTCTCGTCAACCACCGAACCACCCGCATTATTGATCTAGGCAACGGATGTTCTTAAAGAAAACGATCTTTGATGTCCGTGGCTTTTGAGATGAAATGTATACCATTGTATTCGTCTTTGAACGCTGATTCCGAATATGACCTCCGTTTCTGCTAGTCGTTTCTCTGAAAGAAGTTATGAGGGATGCCCTATTGTACGCTTGGCGCATCATTACTGCCGCAACGCTTGGTATAGTGGTTAGTACGATGGACTCACAAGTTGATGCAGATGTAGGTTCAAATCCGTGAGTGTTTTATAGTTTTGCATTGCCTCGATTGAGCTTCCTTACAAAAGTTAGGCATCTCAGAGGCAAATGCTGCCCTAACTCTTCACAAAAAGTTGGAAAGTTGGGAAAATGATTTCCATTTACGCTAAAATGTATTCATTGATTACATTTCGAGTAAATTTACTCGAACAAAGAGAACAAGCCATTAACATGTGAGTCATGCACGAGACGACGCGTGGCTTGCACTTTTTGACCCACCTTTTGAATTATGTTGGAAACATATATAAAAATTTCTCCTCGTTGTT